GGAGCAGGAGGAGAAGGAGCACGAGATGCAGACTCCTTGTCAACCTCGAGCGCCCGCGCTGGGGTCGCAGCGGCGCCAGCACGGGGCCCGTGCGGCATGCCGCGGCAGCTCCGGCGTGCCCCGCAGAGCGCTCGCGCGGCTCTCCGGAGAGGCGCACCTGCGGTTGCCCCGAGAGACCTCCTGGAGCGATCACGAGGTTGCCTGGCAGGCTGCCCGTGCCCGCCCCGCCCCCCTCCGTCGCAGCCGCCGCCGAAGTCCTCGTCGCCGCCGCCGTCGGCGCCGCCGCTGGCGCCGCCGTCGTCGCCGTCGGCGTCGCCGTCGGGGTTGGTATTGGGATCGGGGTCGGGGTCGTCGTCATTCTCGTCGCTCTCGTCGTCGCCGCCGCCGCCGACACCGCCGCCGCCGCCGCCGTCGTCGTCGTCGTCATCGTCGTCGTCGTCGTCGTCCCTGTCGTCGTCGTCGTCTCCTCCATCGTCGTCGTCGTCGTCGTCTCCGCCGTCGTCGTCGTCGTCGTCGTCGTTTTCGCCGCCGTCGTCGTCGTCGTCGTCGTCGTCGTCGTCGTCGTCGTCGTCGTCGTCATCGTCGTCTCCGCCATCGTCGTCGTCTCCGCGTGGTCGCCGTCGCCGTCGTCGTCGTCTTCTCCGCTGTCGCCGTCGTCGTCGTCGTCGTCGTTGTCGTCGGTGGCGGCGGCGGCGGCAACCGCCCGCGTGACGTGCGCGGGCGCCTTCTGGCAGCCATGCAGTGCCCACCTGTAGCAGGCGAGGGTGGGCTCCGGGCCCCACTCCTGCGCTTCGACGGAGGGGGGCGGCTCGGGGCCAGGCGGTCCGCCACAAGAGGGGGGGTGGATAGCTGCAGGAGGGAGGGGGCTCGCCACAGATTGGCGGCGGCATGTCGCAGGTTGGCCAAATCGCCTGCTGGCAGGGAAGAGGCAGGAAGGGTATCGTTTTCCCTGAGCGGGGGTAACGTTGTGGCACCTCCCTCGGCCCGCGCACCACACCTTCCTGGGCAGCGCCAATAGGGGCAGAAGGGCAATGACAAGAAGACTCCTAGTCAGCGTGAGCCCCAACAATGATGAGGAAAAACCAAGCGGAAGGAGAAGAAAACGCACTTGCATGTTCCTCTAATCGGAGGCGCGCAAACATGGATTAGCGATTTCCCCAAAATGCGGCCGGTGCCGCCTCGTTCAGCGGCGGAAATTCGCGATTTCCCATGGAAGCGGGACCCGTCGCTAATCCACGCCCCCTTGAGCCCTGTTTGATCGCCTGATCTGATTGCCGGTGTACCAAGCCCTGGTTGGATTTTTCTTCGTCGCCCGTCTCCCTCCACCCTCCCGGATTCCCTTCGTGTGGGGACACCAGCCGCGCCCGCATGTGGTCGGTCGCGCCGCCAGCTCAAATAGGCTCCTCTGACTGCACTCCTCCCTGAGGGGGAACGTGGCGAACCTGGCTCAGGCGGTGACACATCTCGGGGGGAACGAGAGGGGGGGATCACAAAGGGTAATTAGGGGAAGGAATCAGCTCACGTACTTGATTTCCCCAGCGCCTCCCGGTGCCGGGAGGCGCCCACATATCGAGGAATGGGCCCGGCGGCGGGGCCGAACCAGCTGCATGCAGCAGATTTCGTAAGTCCCCCTTTCCCTATCCTCCCCGTTCGTTCGGCCCGAATATCGACCTTGAATCGGTCATGCACCGCCGATAGGTCGACCATATGCCCTCGATAGCGCCAACACCCCTCCCTGGGCGACGTGGGCTATCTGGCCCAATCGGCGATGAGTGGGCGACGGGGGGCCGCGCATAACTAAAATTCCCCTTGTCGGGGGTTGCTGGAAAGGTGCCCCAATGTCCAGCTTTTCGTTCCATTTTGGAGACCCGCGGCCCTCTGGGCCTCGTGAGGGGTGCTCTGGAGGCCGTGGGGGCCTCCTTGGAACTCCTGGGGGCACCCTGGGCCAGGAGCACTTCTAGCAACACCCGGCCCTAAGCCTGTGTAGCCCCCTCCCCCCCCAACACTGCCCCCACCCCAGCCACTCCCTGCCCCTCTAAAGTAAGGGCCCGACCACAAGAAACCTTCCACAAGAAACCCAACCCTGAGACCCCAGGACGTCCATGGATGTTTGGTGTGGGAACGTCGCGCTCTCCACGGCACCTAAGAAACCCAGGGCACCCAGGAGGCAAGCAGGGTGTTTCTTGGCATGTGTCTCCACTGCACTCGAGCCCCGCTGGGCCGACGCGGCGGGCCGGCCGCGCCCCCCGGGGCCCGGCCCGGCCCGCCCGCTCGCGCCCAGCGTGTCCTCGACGCCCCGCGGCCCTCCGCCGCGGCCCGATGGCCACTGCGGGGCGCTGGGGCCGGCCAGCCCCCCGCCCCCGCTCTTCTCGAAGGGGGCGCAGCCCCTCCCCGGAGACCGAGGGCAGGAGGGGGACAAGGCCGGAAGGGTCATGCGCAGGAGGCATCAGTACACCACCGCCGTGCCAAGCCAGGGCCTGGCACGGTGGTGTGTCGAGGCCGTCGTCGGAGGTCAAGCCAAGGAGCTCTGAGAGCCGGCGGTTCTGCAGAGGCTGCGTCGGACGCCGCGGCTGCTCCCAGAGCGCTCCAGGACTCTCTGGGAGCGTTCTGGAGTGCTCTGGGGCGACTTGTCCCCATCCTGGGCTGGCACGATCCGCCCCCACAGGTCCCTCGCGCCACTCACTCCCCATCCCCCCCGTCCAGAGGGGAGCCAGTTGAAGGACCTGGTATCGGCAACACAGGAGCGGGAAGGAGGAGGAGGAGCAGGATGAGGCTGGGTCGACGGCCCCTTCGTCCTACCACCACTCACACTCGCAAGCATAATCCACCCCAGCGCGCCTCCGTCACGTCTTTTGTATCGTCCTCCCCACGCCTCCAAACCGTGCAAATCCTGTGCACATCGGGGGCCCACTGCTGGCCACAACAATCGGCCCCCGTGCCCGGCCATTCTACAAACGGATGCAAAGGCCACCAGCGATAGCGAGAGGAGCAGCAAGAGGAGGGGGAGGAGGAAGACCAACGTAACCCCAAACTCACTAACGATGTTGCGACAAACCCTCCCTCCAAGTTCCCTTTCTGAGGTGCTTGCAATGACTTACGTATTTTCACAGAGGGAAGTGCCGGTTGGACAACACCCATCTGAAAATCCTAAACCGTGCAAAAACATTGCTCCTGGGACTTCAACGCCGCGAATAAAAGTTACTGTTGCGTCTTGAGGATCCTGATTCGCGCCAAGACACCATTCCTGGGACGTCAACCAAAATAATCCTTGAACCAATTGTAAACTCTCAAGACGAAGGTGCGCGGAGAGAACCACATTTTGAAAACCACTCGCGCAAATTGTTGAGACGAATGCGCGCGGCGCTCAAATGAGAATTCCATGTTGAAAATGGCCAACCCTCCATCCGTTAAACTCCTGCAACAATTTAAAACGAATGTGCGCGGAGCTACAGCCAAAACAATATGATGAAAATCACCTGCTTTCCATGCGTAAAAATGACGCACTCTTTTGTTCACCAAAAGACAAATGCGCGCGGACCTAGGACAAAAACCACATTTTGAATACAGCCCGGCCTCCATCCGTGAACCTCTGGCAAACTTTTCAGACGAATGTGGGCGGCGCTACGGCGAGAACCACATTATGAAAACCACCCGCCCTCCACACGTTAAACCGTTGCAACTGCTACCTAAGCTTAAGCACGATACATGGTGAGGAGTCTCAAGCAAAACGCCCTGCCCGCCCTACCGACACGTGGCAGAGTGCGGCAGTGAGGAGTTCTTTAGAAGGAAAAGGAGTGGAGCAGGAGGAGGAGACGGAGAAGAAGGGGCAAGAGAAGGAGCTAGGGAGCTCGCGCAAGCGCGGGTCAGTGACCAGCGCCAGGCTGTTGAAAGGAAGAAAGCAGGAGGATGGCCAGACATGCCGACCCTCCTGCCAGAGGGCATCCTCACGAGGACGCCCAGGCCTTGACGCCGCCCGCACCTCCCGAGGGTACAGTGTGGGCAACGCTGCACAAGGGCAAGCTACATTGAGCGCGAGCACCACGGGCCTGCCAGCACAGCTCTAGACGGGCGGCGCTGGCAACAAGACAGCTGCAGCAAGCGACCTGCAACCGTCAGTCGGGGGCGCGCAAACATGGATTAGCGATCCATGGATTTGGCACGCAGTCGCCACATCCATGGATCTCCCCAAAATACGGCCGGTGCCGCCTCGTTCGGCGGCGGGAATCCGCGATCTCCCGTGGAAACGGGACTCGTCTCTAATCCACGCACCCTGAATCCATGTTTGCGATCGCCTGAGTCAGTCGGACCCTTCCACGAGCCGTCCCCCGAGTCGACCACACTCACCACTCCACTCCCAGAGCGTAAGGCAGCATCCTCGAGGCGCACGGCAGAAAGAACCTTCCTCGTAATCAAGAAGAGGAGGAGGAGGAAGAGGAGGAGAAGGAGGAGGAGAAAGATGATGAGGAGGAGAAGGAGGAGGAGGAAGAGAGGAGGAGGAGGAGGAGGAGGAGGAGGAGGAGGAGGAGGAGGAGGCGGAGGAGGAGGAGGAGGAGAAGGAGGGGGAGGAGGAGGAGGAGGAGGAGGAGGGAGGAGGAGGAGGAGAAGGAAACAGGATCGACGGTCGCAGTCCCTCCGACAGCCGGCTGTGCATAACTAGCTGGAGGTAGGGACGACACGCGGATGGGCCCGGATGGGGCAACATCTCACCGTCTTCTGGTGTCGGCGTCGAGGAGGAGGAGGAGGAGGAAGAGGAGGAGGCGGAGGAGTTAGGAGGAGGAGGAGGAGCATCCTGAAAGAGCTGAACGTGGGCCAACGGCACAGCTTTGTTGCGCAGGGGCACGAGGAGGAAGGAAAAGGAGGGAGGGAGGAAGAGGAGGCGGAGGCACAAGTGGGGGGAGGAAGAGGAGAATAAAGGAAGCGGGGGGAGGGAAGGAAAGGATGAAGAACCTCCGATGTCTCAGTTGGCCCTCCTCTGATCCGCACCCCCACGGTCCTGCATCTCAGCTAGTAGTTGCAGGCCCCGTTGCCACTGCTTCTTGGCCACCGTCTCGGTACCTCGGAAGTCCGTCTCCGATCGTGAAGGGCGATGAGTGGAAGGAGCAGGGGCTCCAAGGGTCTAACTAGGGAATCCCAGGGGAAGGGGCAGCCGATGCATCGGCGGCCCTCCTCATCCTCCTCCCCCTTGTTCCTCCTCATGCTCGTCCCGTTTTTTTCCTCCTGATCCCTCCTATTCTTTACCTCGTGGCTCCTTCGCTCTATCAACGGAAATCGATTGACCTGCTGGTCATCCTACTCCTCCTGGCTTCATGTTGATATGACGGACAAGGTCCTGCGGGAAACGAGTACTGGAGCAAAGGGTCTTGTTCAAGGCCACCTCTTCATCCTGGACCGTTGTCCGACGGTGTAGGGGGCCCGTGGAAGGCTCAAGGGAGGACAAACACGGGGGAAACAAATCCGCCGACCCTGTCGGCGTGTGTGAGGGGCTGTTCCGTGTGGCTCGTCGTCGTTGTCTCCTCCTCCTCCTCCTCCTCCTCCTCCTCCTGCTCCTGCTCCTGCTCCTGCT